AATTAATATCTACTGATATTACCCTAAAAACTTTCAGGTTTGTGCAGTGTCCTATGACATCTATGTACCAAGTTTTATTGAAATGTGATGATTAGTACTTGAGATATTAGTGGAAAAGCCGAAAATTGATTAATCATTATGCAAATTAGGTAATTAATATTGCACAGATTTTTACCCAAAACTAATCAAATCTGCGCATTAGTTTAGAGCATCTGTGTGCCATGTTTCATCAAAATCCAATGAGTGGTTCTTTAGATATCAGTGGAACAGTCATGAAACAGCTAAAAATCAGCTAATTATCATGCAAATTAGATAATTAATATGCATGGATTTTTACCAAAACCTAATCAAATCTGCGCATTGGCCCAGAGCATCTATGCACCAAGTTTCATCAAAAACTGATGTATGGTTCTTGAGATATCAGTGGAACAGACGGACACACATACACACACACACACATACACACATACAGACACACTAACTGCAAAGACTCCCTTTTTGTGCTTCGCACACAGGAGTAAAAAAAATAACGAAAATAACAGGAAATCAAAACAGAACAAAAAAACAGGTTCAAAATAGTCATCATTTCAAATCATAAAAATAAATATAGTGACATGATCAGTGATAGTTATTGTGCCCTGGCTGAAGGATTTACTTTGGCCAAAGACACAATAACAAACATGCTAGGCTAAGGCATTCATTTAGCTTGATCAAAACATGATCAAAATCAGCTCAAAGTCAGCAATATTAAATCAAATCAAGTGCTTCTGTGTAACCCATCATAGGTGCATGTCAATACAATAAGTTTGAATGCAAATTATCGGCCCTGGCCACAGTAATCTAGCTGGTATCACAATGCTAACTGTGTATAAGATTGGTAGGTTAATACCAGTGTTACCAGTAGACTGTGATCATAATGTCTTTGCATCAACATTCATTTAACACATTCATTAAAACAAAATGGCCGCCAGTCAGCCATTTTGAATCCGATCTGAAAACAAAATGGAGTGCGCATAATGTCTAATATATGTACCAAGTTTGAACAAAATCCATCCATAAAATATCGAGATCCAGTTCTGGAATGCCAGAAATGCTTGATTTTTTGACATAATAATGGCCACCATTCGGCCATTTTGAATTGAATCATCAAAGCACTAAATCTGCATATCTATGTCATGATGTACAATAAATATACAAAATTTGAACATAATCAGTCAAAGCATGTCAGAGATATGGCACTAGAACCGCATTCATTAAAACAAAATGGCCACCTGTCAGCCATTTTGAATCCAATCTGAAAAACAAAATGATATGCATCAAGGTCCTATAATGTTCAATGTATGTATTGAGTTTAAACAAAATCCATCTGTAAACAGCCGAGATCTGGCTCTCGAATTCCAGAAATGCTTGATTTTGATGATTTTCACCACAAAAATGGCCGCCATATGTATTATACATATGTATAATATTATGTATGATGTATGTGTGAAGTTTGAATGTAATCAGTCTTTCAGTCAGTCAGGCATGTCTAAGATACAGGTCCGGACGCTCACACGGATGTATGCACAGAGGTCAATCCATAAGTCCCTGTTTTCGGATTGCAATTAAACAAGGACTAAAAAGCGCTTTATTCCAACCATTCATAAAATTGACATTTCTAATTTGGTCACATTCAAATATAATATGCTGATGGATGTAGCTGTAATATTGAATTTAAAACTGTCAAGGTATACAACTGTCGACATCTGCCTATACTGATACTCTTAGGAAGTTAATCATTATCTATTGAATACAATTCAAAGTCCAATTCAACTTAAGGTGAACGCCTCTTTAAAAGTTGGTCATAAATGGCATGACAATGTTACTGGTTATTATGTACAACCATGAAGGTATACTTGAATGAAACAGCATTTTTTTGCAGACCAGGATTTTTGAGGAAATAAGCCAAATATATTTCAAAAATTGTTATTTTAGAACACAGAACACAATGTTGAAGCAAAATAAAATTGTTTATTACTTTTAACATGTCATTGCTTTTTCAACATATATCACTAGCCTACTACTCCAGACCATTCGTCTCAGTGTTCTCGCTATCATCCACACGTGTGTAACACTGGGACAAATGGTCTTGGGGTACTTGCTTACAGTTTGAGATGGGGTTTAATCTCTATCTGAAGCAATTAACAACCAAATTGCCTTCATTGACTAAAAACTGCAATCATCTTCTCTAAACATAAGCACCTGATCGCATCGAGTACATTTTTAGGTTGAAATAGATAATTTTCATTCATATGCTTCCAGCTTCCATGAAAACTGGACGTGCTGGGCAAGAACTTTTACGACCCCCTCTCCCCATTATTTGTTTTGAGGGGCCTTATTATTTAGATTACCAGGGGTGACAAATCATTTTCAGGATACCTATAGATATGGTCGTCGATGATTCCCTGGATGAGCCCGATTCCAATACAAACAAAGGAGATAGAATTTACTACCAATACTTTACTAAACTAAATTAAAGTTCAATGTCGGACGGCTTCCATCATCTTGTGTCCTGTAGCTCATGTGCACGACGAAATAACCTGCTGTCGCACTGGGTCCGGGCCATGAGGTAACATGTCGGATTTTGAAATGCGGTAAGGGGAACTAACCTGTAATTCCTGCCAACACACACTATTTTCCTGCCCAGTTCAACAAACCTCGATAACCCGGAAGCCATTTTCAGCCGTTTGGCTGAATGAAAATTGCGCCGCTTACGGTGGAAAGAAAACCCCAAACATTCTTTCGTTTTGGAGAAAACTAATAAAAACGTCAGTAAAAAAACTGTTTCTCCAATATATAAATAGGTCCATACTAACGTTTTTAGACAGGGTGAAATAATCATGTTGGTAACTAATTTTTTGTTGAAATTTGAATAACAATTACTAAGATTAATGAAAATTTCACAATCTGATTGAATATAATACTAGTATTTTTGTTGCTATTGAAATTTCAATGTTTCTTGAAAAATGTATACAACAAATTGGTAAATAACCTTATTATGTTTGTGGCTTACCCCAGAGAATCTATGTAGTGAGTTTCATTGTAACCATACGATCAATTCCTGACATATCAGCAAGACAGAAAAAAAATTAACAAACTTATACAAACTAAGTAATTTATCATCAAGAACTAATCATTTCTGTCTCATTTAAATTATTTAAGTAGATCTTGAGATATCAGAATGTTGCCTAATTTATGCAAATTAGGAAATTAATTGGTACAGATTTCACCCCTTAAAATAATTAGGTAAGCACATTATGCCTAGTTTCAATTAAATCTGATTGGTGTTCTTGAGATATCGACAAAACGCACACACGGACAGTGACAGCTAGGGTATTTTCAAAAACACCCATTCTGTGATTTGCACACAAGATAAATAAAACAGAGTTTAACAATTATTAACTTTGCTCCTATTCATAGATACCAGGTAAAGTTTACAAGGAATGAATTTAAAGAGCAAATTCCAGTAAGTATTTGGAGAGTGCAAGAGAAGGGCTGATGAGAGAGATGTTGTATGCTGATGACTTGGTCTTGATGGGTGACACAATGGAGGGATTGAGGGAGAAGTTTGTGAAATGGAAAAAAACATTTGAGAGTAAGGGTTTGAAGGTAAATCTGGGAAAGACAAAAGTGATGGTGAGTGGGACAAAGGAGAAAGCTTTGGTGAGTAAGGTTGACCCATGTGGCATGTGTGGAAAGACGGTAAAGGTAAATTCAGTGCGGTGTGTGAAAT